TAATTGTATACCATCCCCCCCCCGCTCGACAACTTTTTCGCCGACTATATACTCATCGCTCGTCCGTCGGCGAAGAAGCCGTGGAGGCGAGGAGGGGGGGGGGTCGTACTCACACCGACATTTCGCACATCTCCGATGCTGTACCCTGCTCTGTAGTGGAAAAGTGGCGGAAAAATGAAATGAATGTGAAGAGGTCATAAACCTGCCGAGCGAAAAGCCTTTCTTCTACTACGACTCAGAAAGCAGTTTCGGACGACTTTCCCGTGGAAGGTTCTTGCAATAACCGCTACGGTAGATACGGCTGCATGTGTGTGCTCCTAGATCCGTGCAGCACAGCTGCGCGGCTGCTTCATAACAATCCCTCGCTTCATATTTCTAGAAAGAAAGCAATACGAGCACCAGGTGAGGTCGTCTGTTTGTGGGCGGGCGGGCGCAGTGGGCAGCCGAGTTGGTATGTTGCAGCTTAATAGGCGCTTGAGGGTTTCTCTTGGAAAAGGCGCTACGCAGCGCTTGCTCAGGGGCGCGGAATTCCGTCCTGCCAGGCGTATTAATTCTGCTCGACTTAGGAATTTATCGCCTTCAAGTGGACGTCCCCAATAAGCCTGCAAGATGAATGGGACCTCGTGGGAACATTAGGGATGTTTGCCGCGTGATCCAGTAAACAAACTGGAAGTCAAAACATAACCATTTGAACGATAGCGTGAGTGATGACCTTCCCCCCCCTAGTTCAATGCACCCATTTTCTCTCCGACGCTTCCACCTTTCCCCTGAGAGAAAGCGCCAAGAACAATGGCCGCAATAGTCTTGATGTAATGCTCTAATTGGCTACACGCCCACACAGTAGTTCATCGTGTTCTTCGAGCGCTGAAGCTCAGAAATAAAGGCGCTGTTCGGCTTAGGAGGGAATAGAGTGGGAATTTCACACGTTCGCCAAGTTCTTGTGCCTACTCATGTTAACTGACAGGGTTCACTTTGATGAGACTTGTAAACCCTTGTGAAGCTGTGAAAAAATGGTACCAGTAAGCCACAGGACGTGGCAGGTGTTCACAAGGTGGCTGAGTCGATTCCGTACCCCTCCCCCGCACCAATCTGAAATCAGCCAAAATGAATGCCCAAGTAGCCCATTTCTTACTTCATTCGCCTCTTTTCCTTTTCTCGCCCTATTACGTTTTTGTTGAGGAGTGCCGCCTTTTTCATAACCACACCCCCCCCAACCAGTAGTCAAAGATCGTAAAGTACTTCTTGGCGAAAGCACCGCAGTCAGTGAGATCAGAAACTGTTCCATCCTCATGTATAAAAGATTCGAATTGCTGAAGGGAAGCACCGGGGGGAACCCACAAAACTCTGCCAATCACGAGATTAAATAGGAGGCAGGAGGGGTGGGTGACGCGGCCCCACTCCCAATACCCTAATGTTCTCTAACACGCAGTCAATACAATTTTTTTTAACAAGTAACTTCTCGAAAGAAGTTACTTCTTGAAAAAATGCATTCTGCCTGTGGGAGATACAGTCCATCTAGCGGATTGTAATGGATAAGGTCATGGGTCCTATCAAGGAGTATGGGGTCCTTCTGGAGAAAAAGAAGTGCATAGGGTCTTATTGCAGAAAAAAACCCCGCCGGAAGGTAGTGTATGGTATATGCGAAAAGATAAGCAAACATTACAAGAGGTTCTAAACGAGAAAGGAGTCCTAAGAGCCCACCCAGCCTCTCAGTCCTTCCTCACCTTACCGCTAAGGTGTCCTTGAAAATCTCACAGAGCACTCTGTGATCCAAACACACCTACACCTAGTAATTCGTTTTCTAGGCGGCAGACAGCTGCCTGTAACTGCAGCCCAAAAACTGGAAACCCGCGATCAAGATATACTGCCAAACTCCCACTTAATTCGCTTGTTGCCATCGTTTCCCCAGCAATTTGTTTCGCGATGGTCTTTATTGGGGCCATATCGCTGGCGTTCCGTTGTTCAGACTATTGCCTAGAATTATGGAGACTTTTCTCTTGGGATTGCAGTTGTTCATGGATGGTTGATAGAGCATATTCCACAAATTAATGGTCTTCACCTTTTGGCAGAAATTCTTCAAAGGAAAACAGCCTAAGTGTCCCTCGAAAAAGATACCTGATGAATTAGAAGGAAAGAAGCCCGTCCCAGAGAGCTAGTCTGGAGCAAGTCAGATCAGAGGATTAGCCGTCAGGATTGATAGCTCAAAGGCCACTAGTTAGCCTTGGCTCGGTAAGCCGGCGCGCATTCAATAATCGATGAATTGCGTGAGAAATGCAAAATGATCTCTGAAGATTATGCATAGACGGGTTTGATATAGATTAAAGAAGAAAAACGACTTGTGTGTTGTGGATGAAATTCTCCTCTCTTATGCTAGCCGTCGTCTATCCTAAAAGGTCATAAGAGCAACGACTAAGTATGCTGGAAAAGGCTAAGAAGATCTAATCCGTGTGCAAGACCAGGAAGAAGCCTGCAAAATCGGAATATGTTTTCAGGTTTATGGCGGCCATTGAAGTGATTACGTCACAAGAAAGAGAGGTGAAAATGAAGAAAATTACCGGCGAGAGCCGGTTGTATCTCCTACATTTTGTTATTCTCGTGTATTTTTTGGAATGAATTATCGTGTCTGAGCAAGCTGGGACTCCTCATTTGGTGCGCTTGGGGGTAAGTCTCAAGACTCTTAAGAATATTTTAATAGACATTTTTTAAAAAAAACCATTTTCAAAAATCTGAGGAAAGATGTCCACACTTATCACATGGACATATGTACCCCAACAATGTCTCTGTCCTCTATCAAGTTCTCTAAGCGTCCGACCTTTTTTTCGATGTTGTTTAGTTGTTCGCGATGAGTCCTTCCTTGATTTTTTGTTGAGAAAGGATTGATGTGGTCTCTGTAGTTATTTTTGAGATAATGTGTGGGTGATTCATGGTAGAGTATTATATCTTGATGAAAGGCTGGAGTGGGTATGGTCCGACAACTTTAAAAAGCTTTCTAAAGGCTAATTATTGTGCTATCCCCCTACATTTGGCGAGGCAGAGGGCCTAAATTACCCCCTCGTCTGTGGATTCGATCCCCGACGCACGGCTCGCCCTGATATGGGTGGAGCTGGACCTACCATTGTGGCGTCCTCATTGCCTTTCCTTTTCTCTGTTCCCCCTTTGTAGCAGGATGACAGTTCCGACTTCACCTAAACAACGCGCTTGTGCCTGTGCATGCAAATTAGAATGACGTGGAGGGGCCGGATTTTGAGCTGTTCACAAGCACAGTCCACGCTGATCATATGGGTGGAGCCAAACCTAGCTCACTGTTGTTGTGCCAATGATTTGCCATCTCTTCTTGTCTTTCATTGACAGCAAGCGATTTTTTTAAACACATGAGTGCTGACTTATGGGCAAAAGTTAGACCGCGTACGGGACTCAAACCCGCAACTTCCGCTTACCGGGCAGTTGCCTTTCCCATTACGCTACCGGGGCTACTCTTACCCTCTTGGCTCAACCTCTACTTGTGCCATTTTCTCTCATGGTCAGCGCTCACACGTCTAGCTTGATGAGCCGGTCAGCCGGTATCGGCAGTGAACCGCGAGACAGAGCGCTTTTACATATTTAAAGATGTTTTGGTTTATCACTAGTAATACTGACTTTTGGTTTCATTTTCAAGCCTATTTTCCTCGGGTCTGTAGAAACTCGTTGTTTAGGATCATCGGCACCAGAGATTCTCCTCTCTGTCATTGAAATTTTCGGAAACAATTTTGAAGCAGGTAAACTATTGGTCGTATCCGTACCTTTTCAAATTTTCCGTTTCGTTAATTTCCTTCCTTAATTTGTAACTCATTCAAGCGCAGTTCAGCTTGGAAGGGGGAGGACAAATTGCACTTTTGCTACTTCCCATCGAAGTGTTGAGTGACGTGAATATTGTGAAATCTTGTGGAGCCACTGAGATACCAGCCGGAGCTTCTAGAGACCGCCTGGCAACTCCCGTGAAGAATACCTGTCAACTCTTGTGTAGCAGTAACACGTCGATGGGAAACGGCTAAAGTGTGGAATGCCCCCCCCCCCACCTTCATTTATTATCTTCTTCTCAGGTGAATTGGGCCCCAGCACCATCGTCGGTTCGGCTGCTTTCAATCTTTTCATTATCATCGCTATTTGCATTTATGTGAGTGTTTTTCTCTCATTTCCCGGAAATTAAAACAAATTAAACTTGTCTGAACGCGCTGAGACCCAGCTGTACACATAATTTGGTATATTATAGAAAATTTATCTAGCCCCTCCCCCAAACCAACATTATTGAGTTCATTGGGCAGTACTCTAAAATTTATCTAGCCCCCCCCCAAACCAACATTATTGAGTTCATTGGGCAGTACTCTACCAATTACCGGCCTGATTCTGCGCCTCAGTCCGGCCTATTATGATTAACTTCTGACCCCCCCCCCACTCTCACTTAGTAACCGGTTTCGGTCTGTAAAACGTGCATATGAGCTGATGCTCCAAACCTCTACTTCCTCAGCCAACAATTCTGAGAAGAGCAGCTAATTTGACGCGATTCTGTCTGACAGCGCCGTAAACAGCTTTTTGTCCGGAAAGGGTCCGTTCGGCAAGGGAACAATGGCGTTCCTTCAACTGCGTGGATTTGGACACGTTCTGATTCTATTACTAAATCGGGACAAGAAGCGAGGGATAGAGGACTAAAGAGTTAGTGACGTTGCCCTGAGAACCCTTACCCATACCCTACGATCATAGGGAATCTCCGGTCTATCTCCACTTCTGACTTCTCTCAGAAACTTCTTCCATAGAAGAGCGAGAGACACGTTTGTTGGACGCTCCTTTGAAAAATGGTCGTTAAAGAGCCCCTAGAGGATGGTGCTAGTTACTCGCAAGCCTGAGGAAAGCAAAAAAAATATGTATTATTATTTGGGTACAGGTATTCGGATGTCAGGGGCACGCGGCGGCGCGGTTAGCACACTGCTCTTTGATTAGAGGACACAGACAAGCAGACATGACGTGGCATAGTCGTACCGCAGCGTGCAATTTCTCCCACTTAACTTGCCCCTAAATTGGAGCAGCAATTCTGAAGAATAAGAGTCCAAGGTAGGCTCCTAGTTGTTTTTGCTGAAGATGCTGGAGTGTGTCAGCGTGGGAGCGGAGTTTGACGCGGCGTCATCGTTTTCCCCACCGATTGCTCAAGCGCGCAAGCACCACTGATTTGGGAAACGAGCTGGCCCCGCGTTGAACCAGCCTCCCCCCTCCGCCGGCGTCTGCAGGGAAAACGACTATATATGCACTGCTTCGGCATCAGGGAGGATCCGCTGACGCGACCGCGCGCGAATATGACCCACGAGACCTGAAAGCTTGGTACATGTACATGTTTCAATATGCTATTTCCTCATTTTCATCATAATTTTTCTGCATTGAATGAAAAATCTCCTTCTGTTCAGGTAATACCAGCCGGTGAGGTTCGACGGGTTCAACATGGTCACGTATTTCTGGGTTACGGTAATATGGTCGACATTTGCCTACATTTGGCTCTATCTGATTCTGTGTGTGTTCAGTCCGAACGAAGTCGAGGTAAAGAGAAACATATGAACGTAGATTTAGTTATTTGGGCATATATGACACTTGCGGAGGGGTGTGATAGGAAACAGCTCGCTTACCGAGCCTCCGGTCCCGTGATCAAATCACGGGCTGGTTTCCAACTAGGCCAACCAAGCCTTCTACCATGGGATATAGTAAGTGGGTGCCAGATTTGTTTAGATCGGCTGCCACACTAAGCTATCGCCCCTTCGTCACGGTGGTGGGGCATTTTGCTTTTGCCACTTCCCATCGACGTGTCGACCTATCTAAACAGCCTCTTCTCGAGTTGACAGGTTTTAACATGATGGCTTGACGACCTTGTTCCAGCTTTTACAAGACGTTCACCAGGTTTTCACCAGATAAAGTGAACGGGATCGAACTGGGACGCAGCCGATAAGAGCAAACCCTCCCACCCCCCACCCCCCGTCGCCGAACGGCACCTAAGTCATCAGTATAGGTAGCCACATCGCATTCACAGCCCCTACGATTCTAATGTAGGAGTACATTGTTGCTACCCAGAATGAGATTGATCAACTGCGAAAGAGTTATTTTTAGCCGTACTACATCCTCAGGAGATATTGCATAGCACAAAGCTTACTCTTAGCCAAGAGGAGCGTCACATTTTCAAACACGTCGGAAGGACAGGACCGAGCCTAGCACTACTACTTCTCTATTGGCTTTTTCCGCTCCACCATCTCGAAAAGGTGGACGCAGCCCTCGTTGAGGCAGTTGATAGGGCCCTTTTTCGGGCGTTTTCAGCCGTTTCGCCTCGTTTTGCATCACTATAGCATTACTTAGCCTCCAGCCACTTCTATTTTCTGCCAGATTATCGTCCCTACTGCCTTACAGGGTGTGCTACCGTTGTGTATTTTTGCGTAAGCACTAATTGCCAGTTTAGACCAGTTATACGGCAGTATCATTGAGGGTAGCGGCTGTACTTTCTTGAGCAATCTCGAAATTTCAGGTGTGGGAAGGTGTCTCGGGTCGCTAACGTTTTGTGTATTTTCCCTCTTACCGTTTATCTTTGCATATGTCGCCGACACTTACACAGGAATATTTGGCCAACGGTAAATTCTGTAATCTCCTTATCAAATTCAATCAATTTTGGATTTTTTTAAGAATTCTCGACAACACCGTAAGAACATTTTTCGCTCGTCGACGTTCATCACGGCGCAGTCCGACTAAGGAGAAAACAACTGCAATTGAAAATGGCAAGGATGACCACAGGTAAGAGTTGTAAGCCTCTTTGCTTAGAGCTGTTTTACTTTCTTTCACGGCCTTTCAGTCGCTCTTTCCTCGCTGTGGTGCTCCTTCTCCGCTTTAGAAAACCAAATGGCCGACATTATACTCTATATAGCTAGTAGTAACTCTATTTAATTAAGTCAGCATTGGTTGCTGCCTTTTCAGCTCTCTGGAAAGTACAACAGAACGCCTTACGGCCAAGCCGCACGTCCTGCTGGGTTGGGGGAAATTTCTAATGTATGCCCCTCCCCTTCAGACTCTCTCCTGCGATACGATCCACTTTCTTCCCAATCCCCTATCCTACCTGTCATATTCCTAACTATTCCCAAGTTCCTACCTTTTTTCTAATTCCAAGAGTTTTCTAGCTTCTTTTGCTCTAAAAGGGGCCGTCAAGCGGTAGAGGAGGAGGGAGGGAGGGTATACAGCGCACCTTAAGGCAAAAAACCAAGAATTTTCACCAATTGGAAACATATTCCCAGGGGCACGACCCCCCCTTCCAGCGACCAGGTTTTACCCCCCCCCCCCTCTCCTACTCCCCCTCTTATAAATAACGTAGAAGTGCCCTAAAGTCAACCTTTTAGAAGCGAAAAGGCCGCACTTCCTAATCTTCGTATCGTTGTAGGATTATGATCCTGCTAAAGAAGCTCAGAGTCAAAGCCAAATCCGCTCGTTCGCCCGAGGAATTTGCTCGTCTCTTATCCTACGCTCACATCCAGTAGTTCTCCTTTATGGGTATGAACCCTGCCAGAGCTGAAAACCAAGTACTTTTGGGCCTTGCAAAATCAAGGATTAGATGTATCTTTTCGTATTCCATGAAAAAGGAGTTGAAAGGGGGATAAACCAATCCCATTTTTTTCAGGATGTCTCTCATTCAAACTAACACGGACGCAGACGCTTTGGCATTTGAGGAACACCGAAAACAGTATCTAGAAATCTTCAAAACCCTACGGTAACAGATAATCGCTCTCTACTACTGTTTCATAGCTCTAGTGAAATAAGTCGGCTCATTGGGCAACCAGCGACTTCCAATTACGAGTTAATGTCCACTATTGCAGAGCGCAACATCCTGATGCTCCTGTGGCGGAGTTGGAGAAGCTGGCCACAGAGCGCGTAGTCAGCCGTCAGAAGAAAAGTCGCGCTTTCTATCGAATTCAGGTGAATTTTCTGAAGTTCTAAATCAAATCTAGGGCTCGGTTCGGTTCGGGGGGGGACATTTTGCACTTTCCCTACTTCCCATTGTCGTGCTCATCGCAATACAAGACTTAACAGGTATTCTTCATCAGAGTTGAAAAGTTTCTACAAGTCACTACAAACCTGGACTGGTATCACATCGTGGCTTCAGAAGTTTTCACAGGATCTACTACATGGCTCAAGACGTCGATGGGAAGTAGCAAAAGTGTAATAAATGTCCCTCCCAAGCCGAGCAGCGCCTGCACGAATATATGTTCTCGAATATCTACCTCACAAAGAGGAATGGCTCTGCCAATTTTTGTCCCTTCAGGCAACTCGTCAACTTGTTGGTCAAGGAGACATCACAAAGAAAGAAGAAAGCAGAAGAACTGATCGAACCACTAGTAAAGAAGTGCGACGTGGCTGTCGTTGAGTGCGTTCCTTTCGAATCTAACGCTCACCCATTTTTGCCGTTTTGAAGTTAGAAATAATTATCGATTAACCCATTTAGGTTCGATCCTGCTCACTACATGTGCCTTGAGAACGTCGGCACCATAAAAGTGAAAGTTCGTTGCAATCGCGGTTCAGTTGATCCTAATTGTACAGTTACCGTACACTACAGGTGGGGACTAATTCCAAACATCTTAACAACTCTTCATTTTCTTGGAAATTGTAATTTTTCAAAACGTGTCAGATGAGATGGTCTGCGATCCTGGAAGAGAAATAAAGGCTACACCCGAGACCAGTAAGGGGCGTAGCTGCAATATACACTCTTATCCATGGGACGGAGTAGGCGTGGCATATGAACATGGCAGAGAACGGATTACTCGATATTAATTTCGTCTTGAAACAAGCCCGTCATTTTAGTTCTGCGTCCGACTGACGCCACGACCCACAAATTCGTGTCACAAATGAAAAATATCACTCCAATAAACAGCGCACCGTCACGTTCATCGCAAGTACGCAGCCACTCCTACCACATTTCAAACGGATTCCGAGTGTATGACGGCGTTCAAACGGGAGAATGGGTACGGGAATGTGAAGCCGTCGTGGATACGCCCTTTTTGCCCTCTTTTTGTACATGTGGACTGCGATAGCGAGTGACTGATTTGATAACATCAAATGCAGTTGGCACGATAAATCCCCCAGCCGTACCTTCGGCAGGCGACATCGGTGATGTAAGATGCCTACGGGAAACTCGTCCGAAATCGATTTACAAGTCACTGAGAAGGCTTTTCTTCGCAGGATTTTGACCGTTTCACTCCGTTCTTTCGCCATTTCCCCACTATACAGCGCCCTACTAGCATTTTAGGCTAAGTAGGAAACCATCGTGCCAACTGCCTTAAAGCTACAAAATCCCGTATCGATTTACCGGCATCGATCCTGGAAGAGTCGTTCATATCCGACAAACTCGTCGAAAGCACGGGTTCGACCGCAGGAGAATCCCTAGGGATGTTCTCAAGGCTTTTCTGCTTATTTCATCACTGGAGAGTAACTTATGGGCTACTGGTTCATAATTGGTTACCTACACACCGGTCGCAAGAAGTCTCCTTGTCTCGAAGCCTGTGCTTTTCCAAACATTTAGCGTCTGTTTCTAGCGTTGTTACGTAGAACCAATTCCCATTTGATTGAGTGGCGCCAGCACAAGAGATGCTTCTGGCCTACATCCACGGCAAGCCATTCGCGCTTCAGAAGGAAAGGGAGATGGTCAGGGAAATTTCCCATCCGAATCAGCCTTCCAACCTGCATCTTCAGCTGAAAAATGTGAAAATAGGTCCGAATTCTGGGTTATCACGAACGTATGGGAAAAGCTTCCGATCTGTCCCTAGAAAAAATGTTTCTGTCCCTGAAGCTCTGTTATTTGAGAAAGATCCTTCTCTGGCATTTGCATCGGCTGTGCTTATCCCGATCGGATAAAGATTGTTTACAGAGGGCGGCGGCTGGGTCGTAGGAGGATAATTCCTTTCGCATACTTCTGTCAATGAGCACGAAAAGGATGAAAGTTTGCACAAATCAGAAAAGGAGAAAGCACTCAACGTTAATCAAAGCATTCAGCAAGGCAATATCCTTTCCTTCGGAAACATTTTGAAACCTTTAAATGCGATTTTTCCCATATAGGGCGCCCAGCTGGAGTACGCAGCAGGGCATGTCGTACATTGGTGAACCTCCTCAGATATTTCCAGTCAGTCCTCCCACATGTGCTACGTTGTACGTTTCTTCAAGGAAGGATCAGTAAAAAGCTGGAGCATTTATGAAAATGGTAAATAGGATAGGGTGGGGAAGGGAATCGTACCAGAAAAGGAAACTTCGAGGGGGGGGAGGCTCGTTCTTTCTCTTACGCATACGAAGCTTCTTCCAGTCAAAGGGAAAACTTGAGTATACTTGAAAATTAGCATTAGTACGTTGAAAAGAATCAAGTTTAGCATTGATTCTATTGCCAGGAACACTGCGATACAGCTACTAAGAACATTCCGACTTGTATTCCCGTTGCAAGGAGAGTCTCCCTCAAGCCGGGAGTTGGATGACGTGGTTCTCGAATTTTCATGAAAAAACGCCGGCCTCGTGGACTTTAGGAGAAAGACCAATCGCTTGTGAACTAGATCGAATTTTTAGGCAAGAAATAGAAATAGCCATTGTCGATAATGATATTTACGAAGAAGACGAGCAGTTTATGGTCCGCCTATCACAGGTATCCATGATTGAACCTCGAACAGACTTTTTTCAGCGACGTTTCGCAGCACTGTATCGATGCTCGATTTCAGGTCCGTGCTCATTCGCCGTCACAGTTCACGCCGATTCCCGTACGCCTTGGAGCTGCTTCTACGGCCACGGTGCTCATCGTCGACGACGATCATGCCGGAGCGTTCGGATTTGCCTCCGAAAAGTTCAAAGTGGTCGAAAGTGCTGGAGTGTTCGTCGCTGAGGTAAGTGGGAGAATGACGCCAAGAGCGAATTAACTCGAGTGCTAAATGACCTGTGGGGAAGCGTGGGTGGGAGGAAGGAGGGGACAGACGGTACTGCTCTGCTGTCACTACGCAAGAAACCCCAAAAAGGATGCTTTTGCTGAAATTTCACCGCGTGCTTTACCGCGCTAAAAAACAACCTCTGTAAGCCGCATTCAGAGCGTATGTGGTCACCTTTTGGAAAGGTGAGCGGAACCCGTAGGGTTCTTTGTTGAAGTGGGATTCCGCAAGAAGAGGTGACGACTCTTTGGCCCTCTCAGCCAGGAGATGATGGTGAGCTGATTCAGAGGACGGTACTACCCTCAGATGACGTAACTCCCACCTTTTCAAATAGAGTTGTTCAACTTCCCCCGCCCCCGCAATTCCCCACCACCCGAAGGTTATTAGCCGTCCAAATTGCCTTCATTCAACCCTTCAGTTGGAACTGCTTTACAGATAATTCGAACCCGTGGAGCTCGTGGAGAAGTGTCGATTCCCTACAAAACAGTTGACGGACAGGCAAAAGCTGGCGCTGATTATGAGCACCAGGAAGGTCTCATCCGCTTTGACGACGAGCAGGTCAAGTACGTATTATCAAGTGTTCATCCGAACAAATCCCAGATGTTCGGCTTGGACCCGGGGCAAGGCATGTTTTGTTTTATCTTGTTTGTTTGCCTTTTACGCTATCTCGCTCATCAACTATTCATAATTTCGCTAACAGGTCTAATTTTGCTGAGAGCCTATAACTCGTGCGAAAAATACTGGCTCCCTTCCAAGCCTAACTGCCTCAGAATACTCGTGTGAAAAAACTGAATATAGTTCCTTGGTTTCAGAGCCGAGATTCGTTATACCAATATTAACGGACGATGAGTAGAGAAAGCGAAAGAAATTTCTTCATCGAATTACGAGCGAACCAATTTGCATCGAGAAGTCACCTGATGGTAATGAATCCTTTTAAGAAAGCTCCAATAATCAGTGATAGTGCGAGTATTTTTAGATGAAGAATCGAAGCTATCGCGACCAGTGTTGTCACTAAAGCCGCCTGTAAGGTGGTGATCACTGAAGACAAAGAGTTCAAGAATTTTGTCGACCGAATGCTCACCAACGCCAACACGTCCATTATGGTCGGCACAAGCAGTTGGAAACAACAATTCAACGAAGCCATCACTATCGAAGAAGGTTCGTTGGACGAGTTTTCTCGTCTTCTATTGAGGGCAAGGAAAGTGTATCTGAGCGCCCCCAAGGGTTCACCTCTAACCACGACGCTAGAGGGCGCACTTCTAAAGCGCATCACCTTGCGTTGTTGTAGACAGGGGGCCATCGAATGCTGGGTTCTTTCCGAGGGAGAGAGCTACTATGCGGTTGTTGGAGGTAAGGGGGGGGGGAGTCTTGCCTTCGAGAAGAATGTTTTCAGTTGTTGTCTTCTCGCATTTTTCCGTTTCACTGTGCGCTGTATACTCCCCCTGCTCGCCCGAAAGCAGTTTTTTGGGGAAAAGTTGAGAACTTTCTGGAAAACTGGAGAAAAGTGCTGTGGTAGGAATGAAGGGAAGTTGAAAATATGCTAGATAGGGGTCGTATCAGAGGACAGCATTTTGAGGTCTGCCTGTATCCTTCGTTTTGGTGCCTTTGTTTTATTACTCTATCTCTCCTCTTTCTTTATTTACCCTCTTTCTTTTACTGTCTGTCCCTTCAGGGTTCCTAGCTGTAACTTTCCCCTAATTGAAACTGACTAATGTTCAGTAGTAAATATCCATATATAAGGATCCATATAATTAATTTGATAGCCCCGAACGAGTCCCGAATGATAGAACTAGGGCTAAAAATTCTTCGACCATTTTTTCGCCTTCCCAGTCCGCCTGTTTATCTTCCCATGGGTTCAAATTTCACCGAACCAAACCCTATTTGCAACCGTTAAATTTGCAAAACGTCCTATGTCGTCAGAATGTTAACTGTCCTCAACTCTAATCAGACAGGGATAACTTATGACATCATTCGACCACGCGCGGATTCGAACCTTGAACGCGATCGTGATAAGCGAAAACGCAGGTACTGCGCCATTCACCGCCATCGATTCTAGCGCACATAGACCCTGATCACGACGACGCGCAGGCTGAGGTGCAACCTGACTCTCTCGTTGTTTGCAACCTGATCCTACCCAAAATAACGTTGTATTTAAAGCGGCGTGGGTGGCACAGCGACAAGATGCACCCCTCGGTGCAGTTTCGCTTGGCGGGGGCACCAAATGGTACAGGGCAAAGCTTGTACAAGCCACCTTGTGAAGACCTGTAACCTCCTGTAACAAAGTGACTATCACCTGTGCAATTTCGCAACTTCACAAGATTTTACAGGTTTTACCGAGATAAGACTTGTTAGTTCAACATGGAAAGATAACAGCGAACGTGCAGAACTCCCCTCGCCCTTTCCACACTATAAACCAACTAGCTCCGGCTCATTGGATCTCGCCTTCGCTAATTCTGTTCAGAAAATATTTT